TTATAATACTTTACGGTGTCCCATCTATTTAATGTCTTTGGAAGTGAGTACAAACAGAATGCTTATTAGCACAGACATTGGAAACAGACATTTGGTTTCATTATTGGCCTTATCACTTTCTACTCGATTGAATTTGGCTGAGCTCCTTAGCTTCTCTAAAATTCTATTTCTATATCTCTCTAAGAGGGAGTGCTACTATAACTTACCTACTTGAGAATGTTATTATGATGACTAAATAAGATAATATATAGCCTTTTTAACATAATGCCTGGTATTTGGTACATGCATAGTAAATATTTTCTACTATATTTGTTTCAAAAAAATTCAAAATATGGTTGCTTGAATAAAGTAGAACTATATTCACTCACAGGTCCAGGTTGGGAGGCCCCCCAGCCTGGTGTGATGGCCTCTTCTATATGGCCAAGCCTGGGTTATTGGTACTTTTTTGCCTGATTCTGCAGTAAGTAGAGAGGGGAGGAAGTCCAGAGTCTAGACCAGTGAATCATATATCTAGTACATAGGAAGTTGTATATATAATTTGCTCACTCCATTGGTGAGAGAAGTTAAAAGCTGAAATACAATTGGGCACATGTCGTTTTTCTAGGCATCCCTAACACAATTAAAACCATCTTACTCTGGAAGAAATGCTGGTGTTTATGGGACAAGTTACTAGACAGATTCTACAGTAGCTGTTTCTATTACTATTACTGTTAGCGAATAGCATTACTATTACAGCAGAATTACCTCATACCTGTATAGTATTTGTGTAACTTCAGCTACATGCACTAAGATGGGTAAGAAAAGAGTGGACAAAGAAGAGAATGAATTTTCCCGGCTTCTTGTGAGATGAAATGGGAAATATGAGTGATTCTGTGAATGTGATTCTTTTGTTTAGAGATTGATATTTTTAAATAACATAAATCATTTTGATGGAAAACTAGCAATCTGGTCCAATATTGGGGGAAAAACCGGCTAAGCTGCACTGATAAGTGTATTATACTCTTGGAGAGGTACCTTTCTAAAGATTTTCAAGGAAAATTTCAGCTACATCTTACTGTTAGCTGATTACTTACTTATTAGCTACTTTAAAAACTTAGCGCGTATATGGGATTCAGCTCTCTCTGCACCACTAAATTATTACACATTTGGAAAACTTATGTGACCTAGCTGTTTACTAATTATAGCATATTGGACAAAGAGAGTTTTTCAGTTAAGAAATTTATTACAGAAAAACTGATAGTCTAGTTCTGAGATAGTGAGCATCTCTGTCGAAAGAGATGGAGAATAACTTGTCAAGGGTGTCTTTTTATCACCGTTTATTGCATATTTTTACAAGGGCCTAAGGGGATTTTAATTTTAAAGTAAATAGTATAATACATTTTTTTCTTTTTAATTCACAAGGAGTTTAATCTCTTATAGATATATATTAGGCAACCCTAACAATTAATTTTTCTACTAGACGTATATTAGGATAAATGTACTTAAACCAATTATTGCTTCACAGAATAATCACAAAATGATCTCTTTTGTGTTAGTTTCCCTCGTGGCTTAAAATTATTTTGTTGGCAAGATTTTTTTTCTCTTTACTGTTACTAAGAAGCACTTTTTAAAACTAAATGAGGTTTAGCAATAAGATCTTTTAGATTCTTGAGTTAGGTAAGACTTTGTGTGCAAAAATCCCTTCTAAAACGGTCTTTTTTTGGGGGGATGTTTCTATAATGGAGAGTGTCTGGCTTTGTTCGTTTTAGTTTTGGACAGTTCTGTTTAACATAATCAGTAGTGTAAGTGTCAAACTTTTATGGGCCCAGAGAAGTTTTTATTTCTTAAAATTCTGAATCTAACCAACAGTCTGACTGCTTCCTGGTATTATGAAAATTACTTGGAGTTCTGTTCTTTTGGCATAAATCATGCCTTGGGACAGTGGTTCTCAGCCTTCCTAATGCTGCAACGTATTTTCATTGTTAAAAAGGGGTCGTGACCCACAGGTTGAGAACCACTGCCTTAGGAATTCAGAGATTTGTGCACTGGGTCTTTCAACTCAGTGCACAAATCTCTTTCACAGTGTTCTGATCCCATTCCAGTCCTAGAATAAAACAGGTATTCAGTAGACATAGATTGCTAAATGCAATTTTTGTACACACTGTTGCTCTTAAGAGAGTGGGTGCTCAGATGAATTAGTTGGGATTGCAAACCTTTAAATAGCTATGGATTTGTGGAGCTGGGCGTAAGCTGAGCCTGAAGAGCCAAAGCAGACTTGGAGACATCCAATGACATATACTTACTCCTACCTCTAAATAAAGATCCATTGGAATGAGAAATGAGAACAAGGGACATGATGGTAAAACTGATACTCTGTGATCAGGAGGGAAGCCTCTCATCTTTGCGCTTTTTTACATGATGGAACACTTGGAGGTAGTAAGTAGCAGTATATAAAAGGTCCTCAGAAATTGCTTTATATTAATGTTCTAGGAAAAAATCTTTGACCGATTAAGTAAAAATCATGAGAATATTTACTCTTAGTTCTATATAAAAAAATGTATTATTAAATTTTGTAAGATTCATTGCTTACTGCTAAAAATATTATCTTCTGTACTAGAAATAGTATAAATATGAGAATTGTGTCTTTTCTCTGAATCTTTTAATCTGGATTATTTGAATTCTGGAGTTTTTTATAGACATTACAACTTTATTTCTGTGTAGTGTATTTATTATTCTGCCTTTGTAGGAGCTGTAAGTAATGTTGAGTAGATATGTCTTGACTGATAATAAAAATAATTAACATAAACTTGAGATCTCGGCTGCATGACAGCTTATATACATAACCTTCAGGCATATTCACACTAGGTGCTGGATATCCAAGGAGAGAATGTCATGTGAGATAACTCTGGACGCACATCTGGGATTTTTTGTTTTAACATTTTCCGTAATGAAAAGCAAAAAATGGTTTGGGATCCATGGGTATCATTTATTAGAAATTGAACATAAGGCTTAAAATTTTAACTCTTTTCAATAGTATGACATATAACTAATAGACACCTTCCTCTTTCCACCAGTTATGTGAAGGGCATTTACATTCTAATTCTGTGCAAAAACTGAAAAGTAGTATGTATATCCTATTTGGAAAGTAGAATGGAGGAAATCCAAATTAACCTTGTATAGTGACTTCACACATACACTTTGGGCCAAGACATAATTCTCTGATAGACTGTCTTTGTAGTTGATGGCTCTTTATACGTGCAAGTAGAAAAGTTATTTTTTGCTGAGGGTCTAAACCTACAGGACTCTGCCCTGAGCTTCTCTATAAGAAAGTTTTCCATATAGGTGCTTAAAATTCCCACAGACTTTTAGGAGTAGGGGTTATTATTTGAGTAGATATAGAACCTTTTGTAATTTGATGAAAATTACCCACATTTTACCTAGTAAAATACCAGTGTACACGTATCTTTGTGGACATAGTAGGTGCCAAGTTAACTACTCATGCTGAAAGTCAACCTCAGCCCTGAAAAAGTAACTTTATGGGGACTTGTAGGGTATCTGTAAATTCATTAGCCCAAATGATCTTGTTTCCACTGTCAGGATGTTAATACTCAGAACAGTAATAGTTTAGACATTTAACATTTCTGACTTAAAATTTTCTAGTATATTTCTTTAGCTAATATTATTTTTAAGAGTTTTTCATGATCTTTATTCTTAAGTTTTTAAAGGCATTTTTTGTATTATATTCTTTAAAAATGATTTTTATTGTGAAATGTAGCAAACAGACCGAAAAGTTATTAAAATACACATGCATAGTTTAAGGAGTAATTTTAGGTGCAACTACCCCCAGGACAAGAAACAGAGCATTGCCGGCCTTCCAGCAAGCTTTATAGACTCCCAAAGTGCCCTTCTTTTTGATGTAAGGAGTCACTAATCTGACTTTTGAGATGGTTATTTCCTTGTTGTTCATTATAATTTTACCTTTTCTATATTTACCTTTAAAATATCTTAACTTTCTAGAAAGTTTATATCGGTTTTATAATACATAGAAATTTATTGGATATGTTCTTTTTTTTTGCTGTTTCTCAAAATTATACTTGTATCTATCTTTCATGGTGTGTTATCTTTTACAGATACTTGCAGTTCATTTATTTTCATTGCTGTATCATTTTTCATTGTATGATAGTACCACATTTTGTTTATTTGCTGTATTTTGATCAAGATTATTATATTTGCCTGAGAGAACTTTTGATTTTCTTATGACCTTTTTATATGTAAATAACCTGAGAATTTACATAAGAGATTAAAATCATTAATGATGTTTTCTTATTAATTATTATTTTACTTTCAAGACTCCAGCCTATAAGATACTTTGTTTCTGAATATTTCATATATATTATATACATGGCCATCAGAGAACTTAATGAAATTCAGCAAGTACTTGAACATCTACTATGTGCCAGGCACTGTTGTAGGTACTAGGGCTGTAGTAGTTTAGTAGATGTGTGTTTTATTTTTTGTAGATCATTAAAATAAAGCCAATAAGTTTTTGTTTTAATTAAGATTATAGTACAAAATGGTATTATATAAAGTGAAAAGTTTAACTTTCTGTTTCTTCTGTCGTGTATCTAGTGCTAAATTTTTTGACTATCCTTTCTAGGAAAAAAGAAAATATATAATGTTATATGTCTATATCTTTAAAATATAACATAGAGGAATCTTGCATTTTTTTATATATCATCTTTTTAGTTTAATAATATCTTGAGGATTTCGAGGACAATTAGTATTTTTTAATTATGAAATTGCCAGAAACTTAAATTAGTAAAAGAACTAAAAATAGAAGTAATACTTCATATTCTCATTCTTCTAGGATGATATTTTCCCTCCTGATTTTACTCTACCTTCATACATTAAAAATTAATAGATTTATTTATAAGACATGATATAATTGAACCCTGGAAATTAATAACTTTAAATGGCTGTATATCTGTACTTTTGAGTTTTTTTCTTTTTCCCCTCCTTAGGCATTGTTGGAGACCATGTTTGGTGTAAAAGTGATTATAACAGGTGATGCCTTTATTCCGGGAGAAAGAAGTGTCATTATTATGAACCATCGAACAAGAATGGATTGGCTATTCCTGTGGAACTGTCTGATGAGATATAGCTACCTCAGATTGGAGAAAGTTTGCCTCAAAGCCAGTCTCAAAAGTGTTCCAGGATTTGGTGGGTTATTTATACCTTATTTTACATGGTTCATTCATTTTATATGTAATATACACACACTAATGCTATATAAAATAACTTGGTAAAGCCTACTTAAACATTAGGACCATTCACCTTTTTCCCTCACTGGGTCCAAAACATTCCCAGTTTCTGTTTTTCTTAATGGATCTGTTATGACAGATAACTTCATTTTAATCACTTTTTTGCAATATTTCATTCTCAAAGAAAAAAACTACTCTCAAGGAAGAACCTAAGCACCTAAGAAGCATTCATATTTATTTTAAAAGGTATGAATTAATCGTTTAGTTTTTTTTTTTTTTGAGACAGAGTGTTATTTTGTCAACCTTGGTAGAGTGCCATGGCATCATAGCTCACAGCAACCTCAAACTCTTCTCTTGCCTCGTCCTCCCAAGTAGCTGGGACTACAGGTATCTGCCGCAACACCTGGCTATTTTTAGAGATGAAGTTTTGCTCTGGCTCAGGACGGTCTTAAACCTGTGAGCTCAGGGTAATCCACTCGCCTCAGCCTCCCAAGTGCTAGTTTAGTAACTTTTTATTCATGTCATACTTGTGATTTGGGTAAGAAAGTTGTCTGTGTTGATAAAGTAGTTGAAATCGACTTATTTATTCACATTCATATTCAAATAGTAATTGAACATGTATTGGTTCCAAGTATTGCACTAGATGCTGGTATTTTCTAGACTTCCCTAATCCATAGCTTTCCCCCCCACCCCCAGTCTTTTTATTGTGCTTATGTATTAGAATATTAAAGTTCCTAGAAATGTTTATTTTATATGTTTAGGAATGTACCATATTCATTGCATGAAGAAGTAGGAATATTTCAGAATTGCTTGTTAAAACTAAATTGTCCTTTTTCTCAGTTTACTAGTTAATGTGATGTAGGGATGGGAAACAGATTATTTATATTCAAACTACTTATTTACATAGGGTTATATGAAGCACCCACTACATTCTCTGATAGCCTCATCAATTACATCTATACTTCTGTGGTTTCCCTATGCAGCATTTCTTACTTAAACTCTTTGCCCTCTAAACCATGTCTCTATTAGTGTACTGATATGATTTATGATTTGTGAGGGAAAAGGGCCGGTATTGTCTTCAAGATAAACTAGTGAGGGTGTTTGTGGTTAAATTACTAAGTGTGTGGTTAAATTACTAAGTGTGCTTCATTGCCTCGGTCTTATAGTTTTGTTTTTCTATCTGCCACTTTTCCAATATAGTGGTCTCAGAATAGTCAGATTTCTTACATAACTACTGGCTTTCTCTAGAGAAAACAGTCCCAGAGAACTGGAAGCTATAAAGCATTTTATGACTTAGCTTCGGATTTCATACTGAGTCACATCCACATATATTATTGGTAGAAGTAGTCACTGTTCTCAAAGATTCTACAAGAGGGAGCATAGATCTCACCTTTTGCTGGGATCTTAGTATTTTCAGAACTACCACATTCCTAAAAAGATTGATTAGAAAAGAATAGATAAGGTACATATTACCAGTAATAACAATGATACTGTCTTATTCCTGATTCAACATGAAATGTAGTAACAGGATATTAAAAATAACACTACGCCAATGAGAATGTGTAGTGATGTCAACAAATGGAGAAAGTGCAACTGACAAAATAGGACAACAGTAAAAGAAAGTGAAAAAAACATAGTTGTGTATCTAATGAGAACATGAAATCCATAATTAAAAGCCTTCTTATAAAGGATTTTGGAGGAAAATGGCAGTTACTTGCTTTTCTTCACCCTTTAAAATAAAAAAAAAATCACTAAGTCAAGGAACAGTGGAGACATAAACCATGTATCACTTATTTCTTCATTATGAAGAGACAAAAAAATCATAATCTTCCAACTACTATAAGTAGAGAAATAAATTGCAATACATTTGCTTCTGCCTTCCTACCTTTGTAAACCTTATGAATATCATAAGTGGGAAAAGGAGGATTAAGAGAAGAGGAGCATATATCTAGGGTCACTGGTGACTGTGCTCCTTTCAGTGGGAGGGCCATCATGCACACTTATATGAACACCTTACTGGAGGCAAGAGGATCACCCAGTATCCTCACCTCTAGTGAAATCATGCCGTATCCTCCACAAACAACCATAGCCTAGGCCACTTAGGTGTTCATAGATTCTATTGACATTGATTCTAGCCAGAGAATTCATATGGAGACTATACTGCTATGCCTACCTAAAACCAAAGCCAAAGCACCCTACCAAATTGACTCTGTAGGGCACATCTAAAGCATATACACATACACACACAATGTTTCCCAATGAAAGCTACTCCATAAAATTGAAGGAAGTGACTAGTCCCCCAGATGCACAGATATTAATGTAGGGACACAAACATGAAAAAAACAAGGAAACTTTACACCTCCAAAGGAACACAATAATTCTCCACTTAATAGACCCCAAAGAAAAGGAAACCTATGAAATGTCTGAAAAGGAATTCAAAATAGTAATCTTGGAAGAAATATGGGCAACTGGATACAGGAAGCTCAAAGATCCCCAAATAGATTTAATCTGAAAAGATCCTCTCTGAAGCATCTTACAGTCAGTTGTCAGATGTCAAAGAGAATGAGAGAATTCTATAAACATAACAAGAAAAGCAACAAGTCATATGTAAAGGAATTCCCGTCAGAGTAATAGCAGATTTCTCAACAGAAACTTTACAGGCCAGGAGAGAATGGAATGATATAGTCAAAGTGCTGAAAGAAAAACAAATGTCATTCTGGAATACTATACCTAAGAAAACTATCCAATCTGATCTTATATAGAAAACCCTAAAGACTCTACCAAAAAAACCTCTTAGACCTGATAAATTCATCAAAGTTGCAGGATACAAATGGACCATACATATTAGTAGCATTTCTATGCACAAATAACAAACTAGCTGAAAAAGAAATCAAGAAAACAACTCTATTTACAGTATCTACAAAAAAAGTAGCTAGGCATAAATTTAACCAATGATTTAAAGATCACTACAAGGAAAACTACAAAACACTGAAAGAGATGAAGAGGACATGCACTGGGGTGGGGGTGGGGGGGGCCGGGGTGGCGGGAATGAAAGTCTTTCCATGGTCATGTATTGGAAGAGTTAATTTTGTTAAAATGATCATATTGCCCAAGCATCTGCAGATTCAATGTAATCCCTTATCAAAAATACCAATGACATTCTTAATAGAAATAGAAAAATATTCTAAAATTCTTATGGAAGCACAAATTGGTAAATCCTACATTTCTAAATCAGTCCTGACCAAAAGCAACAAAGGTTGAGGTGACATACTACCTGACTTCAATATGTACTATAAAATTATAGTAAGCAAAACAGCATGTTATTGGTATAAAAACAGACTAATAGGCCAGTAGAACAGAATAGCTAACGCAGAAATGAAGTCATGTATATGTACCCACTGATTTCAAGACCTGAAACTATAGAGTTACTAAAAGAAAACATAGCAGAAATGTTTCAGACCATTAACTGGTCAAAAATTATGCCCTAGACTTCAAAAGCACAGGAAATGAAAGAAAAGCTGGACAAAGGGGATTATATCAAACTATAAGGCTGTTGCACATCAAAAGAAACAATCAACAGAGAAACTTGTAGAGTTGGAGGATATGTTTGCAAACTATTCATCTGATAGAGATTAATACCCAGAATACACAAGGAAGTCAAACATCAACAGCAAAAAGGGGGAAAAAAATCAATTTAAAACAGGCAAATAGGGTAGCACCCATAGCTCAGTGAGTAGGGCACTGGCCACATACACTGAGGCTGGCAGGTTCAAATCCAGCCTGGGCAAGCTAAAACAGCAATGACAACTGCAACAAAAATATAGCCAGGCGTTGTTGTGGGTGCCTATAGTCCCAGCTACTTGGGAGGCTGAGGTAAGAGAATCGCTTAAGCCCAAGAGTTGGAGGTTGCTGTGAGCAATGACACCACAGCACTCTACCCAGGGCAACAGCTTGAGACTCTGTCTCAAATAAAATAAAATAAAATAAAAATGAGCAAATGACCTGAGCTGATGTTTCATAAGAGAAGATATACAAATGGCCAATAAATATGTGAAAAAATGCTCAGTATTGCTAATCATCAGGGAAATGGAAATTGAAACCACATTGAGATATCATCTTACCCCAGTTAGTTAGTATGGCTATTACCAAAACCAAAAAATAACAAATGCTGGCATCGTTGTGGAGAAAAGGTAACCATTATACACTGGTTTTGGGAATCAGCACCTAGGTTGATTTCCATATCTTGACTTTTGTGGATACCACTTCAACAAACATGAGTGCAGATGTCTCTTCAATATACTGATTTCCTTTACTTTGGATAAATGACCAGAAATGGGTCTTGCTGGATCATATGTTTATTCTGTTTGTAGTATTTTGAGAAAATTCTATACTGTTCTCCTAGTGGCCATACAAAGAAGATATATAAGAAGTACAGGTGGCTGAAATATGTGAAGAAATGCTCAATGTCAGTAATCATGAGAGAAAATGCAGATCAAAACCTCTTGCCCTGGTTAGTATGGCTGCTATCAAAAACAAAAAATAACAAATGCTGGCATGGATGTGGAGTAAAGGAGACTATTATACACTCTTAGTGGGAATATAAATCAGTTTAGTCACTAAGGGAGAACAGTGTGGAATTTCCCCAGAGAACTACAAATAGAATAACCATGTGATCGAGTATTCACACTACTGGGCCTTTATCCAAAGGAAAAGAAATCAGTGTGTTGAAGAGACATCTGCACCCCATGTTTATGGCACCACTATTTACAAGAGTTTGAGGTGGCTATGAGCTGGGATTTCACAGCACTCAGGGTGACAGAGTAAGACTGTCTCAGAACTCCCCACCCCACCCCACCCCCAAAAAACCAAACAGGAACAAAAAAAGAGATAGTGACTTAAAAATCAGCCAACTGTTGTATTAAACTAAAAATTTTCCTGACCTCATGATTTCAAATTAAA